AAAAACCTATTTTTACTGCATACAGCGCCTTAACTGAAATGGCTGGTGCTTAATTAAAGTCACTAACTCAGCAAAAGTACAATATACTATTGCCAGAAAGTGACTCCCGTTACAATCGGACGACGGTAATATTTTTAGTTTTGTTAATTCTGTGCCGTTCATCATCATATTTTTATCCTGTATATTCCACTGCTGAACATGCCTACTAGGCCTACAACAGGCTTCCACAAAGCACGATCCTGAGTCACCTGTCCATCTTATTCCGCCATATTTACACGGGTCGTTATTAAGCGCAATATATTCTCTTTTTGGTAGAGTCACGTGGTTTGAGGTCTCACTGAACACCGGCGTTGCTGATATCCGTATAAATAAGCCCGTGAGTGAGGTAAACGCAAGCATACCAACCTGGAAGCTCTCCTTTTTTATGTGAAAAACTGGCAAACGAGCTGGCGGCTCACTGGATGTTCAGTGATAACCGCCGCCCATGGACAATGGCAACACCCGTAGGGTTGCAGAAGCATTGCCACCTGAAAATAAATTGGGCCCCGGCTACCTCACTCACCAGACGAAACGCAGAAGTGTAACACTTCTACTTTAGGCCGGTCTTCTGTGATGTCGTGATACTTACCCAGACAGACCTGCCCATTCGCGCAACAGTGAACACCAGTGCGTGGCCCTACCAAAGTTAAATCTCCTCTTGCCATCCTGTCTCCTGTTATGAAAGTCATTAAGTATGCTGCATGCTCTCCAGCCACGTTCAACTGGATTATTTTCAGGTAATACAGGTGGGTCCGGATTGCTTCGTGGCCGTCTGTGGACGAGGTCTATGTTCAACAGTGAACTCATCACCATCATCATTTCAGCCTGTTAGAGTCCACTGCTGAACATAGGCCTCCCCCACAAACGATCGACTATTGATTTCCCGCACATTAACACAGATCGTCACTCCGTCTAGTGCGGGGTCGTCCTACACTGGCCAGTATATGGCCGGCCCATCGCTACTTCTGCTTACTCATCTTCTGAGCTTTGTCGGTTATCTTTATTCTACTACGGATATCTTCGTTGCGATCTCTATCGCGCAGAAATACCAAGCATAGCTAACTCCATAGCTCGCTACATGACTGTGAGCTTCTTCATACATCTCCATAAATATACAGATACCATTATGAAAGTTATCAAGAGTTTTATATGCACAATCGATCCATAGGTAATAATAAAATAAAAAAGAGCCCTATCTTAAGTAAATTCTGAAAAAAAATTTGAATTTCGAATTTAGAAGACAATTGGTGATTAAATTTTTTTTATTCGTTTCATGAATAGCGGCAATGAATTGTAAAACAAATATAGCTACGAATTACACAGTTGTTTTGTTGTCTGATTCATTTGTTCATCGATGAACTTAATTAAAAAATCAATTCATATGAAAAATTTGCTAATTTAGTTACTCTGTAATTTATATGAATAATGAAATATTTTCCTCGTACGCAAACGTGAAGAGAATTTCTACGATCAGTAATATATTCATATCGGGGCAAATTCATTAGTTATCAAAACAATAACACGAATAACTCAAAACAGATATGTCTTATCTGTTCATTGCTATTGCAAGTCTAGTTTTCTATACATAAAACATGATCATGATCAAAATCTATTTAATATAATCTTAGATGTAAGTTATGGCTCATTTAAAAACCTACATATATATAGTCTATTTATACTACTAGTCTAGTTTACTTTTCAACTAGGCTGGAATGGTTAGAAAATCGAGGAAAATTCTTCATTCATTGAGAAATTTTATTATTTTTTCACTGTTAAGAAGATTTAAGGACCGTCGGAGCTTGTTTTTTTTTTTATTTTCCTGTTATTTATTAATACTTGACCTTTATTCACGTCCGAAAAATCATAATTAGGAGCGGGGCTCGAATATTTGAATTTGTATTTACAAATATTTTTAAATATAATTTTTATTTCAAGGTAAAAAATTTCAAGTTGTTTAGTACTAGATACCAGTTTACCTTACTTAACCTCTGACGAATCACATTCCTTAAAGTCACATTATGTTATTAAGCTAGTTTTACAAAGTACTACAATTAGAAGTAGACTAATATAACATTAGCCCCAAATATGATAGATGGTAGATCTGCCGAATTGATTGGGCAATATGCGAAACAGCGATTTTTGTTTTTGTTGGTCAAGCAGGGAAAGCTAGTCAATCTACAGTGACAATTGATATATCTGAACAGTTTATATTATAAGCAAACTTCGTTAAAATTTCCACCTTAGGATAGATCGATTTTTACAGGATGATGAGGAAAAATATTCATAGATAAATAAATTCCCTGCAAGCTTCGCATCGTTGATTAAAATTTCATCAGTTCATTTTTACTTTCGTAGGTCCACGCAACAGATCTAAATATCTGCAAAATTTATGAATTCAAAAATATGCAGGTTTCCTCTCGATGTTTTCCTTCAAAGCTTAACACGTAATAATTCAACACTAAAGATTTCACTATTGTTGGCACCGCGTTATGAAGGTTACTCAGTTTACTTGAGTAAATTCAATTAAAAGCCAGCACCAATCTTTATTTATTTTTATTAGCCTATCTCTATCATTAAAAGCGGCACTCATTTCTCCAATCCGCCGGATGGAAAGCTCCTCGACCTATATTAGAGGCCCTTATACATGTGAGACGAAAATTAATTTTCTTCGAGATCGGTCACAGCGTAGAATTGATCAGTTAACAAATAATATTTGCTCAACGAAATTGAATTTTCAATGAATAGCATATGTAAGATTAAGATATCGCAAAAGCACCACATACAAAAAGAACAAGACCGCAGAGTTTCTTGCCGGTTCTTCTCTGTGCAGGTCTAGTTTAGTGAACCGGTGGTAGATTTTTTGTTGACGTTCGATAAGAGCTTAAGTTTGGCCTATATTGAATAAATATACTTTGACTTTGACTTTGATACCAGCATCAATTAGCAGTTGAATAAAAGAGAAAAGACAACAAGGTAAGTAAATAATTAAAAAGAAAAACCCCGTTTCGTTAAACCTACTTAAATATTAACATTAATTAAAACATACAGATAAAGTTTCTCAAAACTTGATAGAATTAAATGACAATTTCAAAAATGTTTAGATTATATAGTGGGATAAAGAAATAGACAAACATGCATACAAACGCACTAAAAACAGTCCTTTTGAAGCACTGCATGAAGTCATTTCATCAATCACGCTGAGAATGGCATCGTGCTGAGAACACAATTGACGAAAAACTGTTTCTGATACTCGTATGTATATTATGTTTGTTTTAGACTGTGTAATAAGTCGCATATCACGAATGCAACGTATATTTTTTTATGCGAAAAGTTGCCAAGCGAGCAGACGGCTCACTTGATGTTAAGTGAATACCGCCGCCCATGGACATCTGCTACACCCGAGAGTTCCAGATGCGTTGACGACCTTTTGAAAATTGGGCTCCGGCCATCTCACTCACCAGACGAAACCCGAAAGTATTACGCCGGTCTTGTGTGAAGTCATGGTACTTACCCGGACGAGCCTGCCCATTCGTGCAACAGCCGAGGCTGCTGCGTGGCCCTACCACCGTAACATATCAGACCTATTTCAGCAAAACCAACAGCTTATTATGGCTGCATCATCATCGTTCTTCGTTTCAGTCTATTTTGATGCACTGTTGGACTTAGAGCTGCCCGCAGACTACCATGCCCGACAAAGCACGATCCTACACTACCACAGCCAATATTAGGCTGCCACTAGAGAGCTTTTTTTCCCATCGGTTATCGCTTCTACGAGCTACATGGCCGGCCCATTACCACTTCAGCTTATCTTCTGAACTACCGTCCATAGCCCGCTCCGTCGCTGACTGAGCGACTTTGAGCTTCCTCATACGGTCAGCAGTTAATGACCACGTATCAGATCGAGGCTACGTTCAGTAATTACCAAATGTACTAAGGTGTACTTCTCTGATACAAAACTTTTAACAAAAATGTTGTATGAACTGGATTGCTGAAATAGATGTTCTGCCATGGCCACTTTACAATGAGTGTTGATGTGTAATGAAGGCGTTCGTTTCGTCACCATAAAAATTAATTGGAAATTCTCTCAATAAAATAGGCCCGCGATGGTAATTTTACGGAATGATTTTCTGTGAATTTAGTTTTCCTCTAATAAAATTGAGTTTTAATTTTGTTGTAGTGTTTAAATTTTGACATCAAAAGGTGTGATCGATAAACAAAACTTTTTTACAACAAAATTCGATCTGAAACTTACTTAAAGCTACCACAACAAATTTTTTTTATCAATAAAAGGTGCCTTACCACACCTTGCACCAAGCAACTGCCCTCGCTGTTGCACGAATGGGCAGGTCCATCCGGGTAAGTACCTTGATCTCAAATAATACCGGTGTAAAATAGAAGTGTCATACTTCTGCGTTTTGTCTGCTGAGTGAGAAAGCGGGGGCCACTTTATTAAAAGGTAGCAATGCTACGGATTTTGCAAGTGCCAAAGGGCAGTTTTCATTCTCTGACATTCTCACATAAAAAATAAACATTTAATCTAAATTACGTGCTATCTCATAAATCTATTTCACACGGCATGATGCCAAGAACACTAGCTGCATTCCTCGTTGAATAGTTTGTTAATCGTTTTGGTCTTCAAATGGAATTTACCGATACATGCAAATTTCAGCAAGATAGATGTTCAGAGTTTCTTGCCACTTCTTCCCAGGACATATGTTGAATTTGAAATGAATATTCATTGAACATAAAAAAGACAACAAAACAACAGCAAATTATTAACAAAACGATAAATCCAAATAAAAACAACAACCTTAAAAAGAAATTAGATACTCATCATTTAATACCAATTACATTTTCCGATTGTGGTCCCCTTAATATTCCTATAAATAAGTTCGATCACTATAACTTAGTCTAACAATAAATAAATATTTTCATCCTACAACATGCGCAAATCCTCATCAAGGCGCCGTGGTCTCATTAAGTCGTGGCTGCTGACAAGTGAAGACTCCGCATCTGTTTCGACAGCATTTGAGGGCACGAGCGCAGTCGGAGTCGGTCGTGCAAGTGTGACTGCACATCCAAGGACCCTTCGGATACTCGGGGCAACTGCCTTTCTTCACTGAAACAAAATTCCTTGACTTGATTGAAAAGTCACATGATCGCGCCGGCAAAAATGGTATGTTTACGAGTAATTTCTTGTATTTACGCGATTACACATTATAAATGAAACTAATTTTACGGATTTATCGCGTTTATTTTTAATTTTAATTGCCGACGTTTCGAACCCTTTACAGCGTTCATGGTCACGGGACAGACTGAGGTCTTAGACGTCTGATTGTCATAGTTAACCCGGCAGACTTGTTCAATCTATTGTGTTTTATGTCAGCTATATGTTCTTTCATGTCGTTCTAGATTGAACAAGTCTGCAGTTTGTGAGCACATTTTGAATAGGCCCAACCACTACATCAGGTTTGACAAACCACAGATCCTTGCAAAAGAACACCGATTCCTCCCAAGGATGATTCGCGAGGCTATTGAAATTAAAAAACACCCTAATTTCAATAGAGAAGTAGCTTGGGATCCTGTCATCAATAAAATTAAATCTAGGCCCAAACGAACCACTACTGCAAGACAAGATACAATTAGCTCCCTCTGCATAGATCGGACACAAAATTAATAATTCAAAAACTGACGGTAGCCCGGGTTAACTATGACAATCAGACGTCTAACACCTCAGTCTGTCCCGTGACCATGAACGCTGTAAAGGGTTCGAAACGTCGGGAATTAAAATTAAAAATAAACGCGATAAATCCGTAAAATTAGTTTCATTTATAATGTTTACGAGTAGTCAGAAGATATAAACATATAAAGAAAATCCAAAGAAGGAATAAAAATAAACGTTTAACACACAAAAAGAAAATAACCCATTTGATTTTACATAACAAAGAAGGGACATAACTAGAACTGTCAATCACTTAACATATTAAATTGCACGTCTTTTCACGATTCAATTCCGCGGTTGGGATGTCGACGGCATGTTCAACGAGGTTTCCGTTTTGCGATTTCGTACGTGCAAACTGAGAATATCTACTTTGAACTTTTGAAATGGGATGAAACGAGGCTTCCATTGGCTACCTCTGTCACTGACATTATGTTAAGATGATGATAAAGAGCAACACTAATGTGACTTCTTTACTACTTTACTATGAATGATATTTTTGTTCTCAGTTCGTAGACTATAAAAGTTTCTACTAACGCAGAGCTATAGCCAGGTTCCACGAAATTTAGATAATTGAAATTTGGATGTTTAAAACAATATCAAATACTAACTAAATTATATATCTAACAAAAGTAGTCAAGAACTTCAAGAACTTGAGCTACATTTCCTCGTTGAATAGAATTATGGTTAACCTTTGAGCGAGAAAACATCCAGCCCTTTTGTCTACCGCCGTGGCGATAACTATAATGTAAGCCTTTCAAAAATTTCGATGTGCTTGAACCCTACGGACAGCAAATGGCACAAATAAGTAATCTGAACAAAGATATCTCATTTCCGCCAATCACTTCAGCTGCCTCTGATGCCATCCTAAACCAGAGCTTTGCCTCTCTTTCAAGAGATCAAAGTCAAGCCGTCGGGTCACTCGCCATCGTGACGGTTAATGAAACTCCAAAATGAGTTTAGAATGAAGGAACATTTGGGTGTTAGTCATCACATTAATTGAAATCTTTTATCCGCTGATAATATAACTGCGGTTAGGCCATGCGGTTGCACGAATGGGCAGGCTCGTCTGGGTAAGTAACACGACCTCACAGAAGACCGTAAAGAGGAAGTATAATACTTTCGCGTTCCATCTGGTGAGTGAGGTAGCCGGAGCCCAATTTTCAAAAGGTTGTCAACGCATCTGCAACCCTCGGGTGCAGCAGAGGGTGTCCATGGGTGGTGGTATTCGCTTAACATCAGGTGAGCCGTCTGCTAGCTTGGAAACTTTTCACATAAAAAAAATTATGATAAACGACTCACTGTAATCGACGAAGTGCCTTTGAGTCATAGGGTCCACGCAGAGGGAACCACCGCAGGAGGTGGGGCAGCACAGCTGAGGGCTGTCGCACGGCCTTTGAGGTCCACACGCCGCGTGGCACACGTCCACTGGCAGAGTGGGTGGGCAGGAACCGTCACTGCACAGGACGGCTGCGGTACACACTGTAATGATCGACTTTAATTTAGTATCATTGCAACATCAAAATTGTGTGCTACCACGCTACTACTGCGTTAATTATATAAAGATGAATGTTAAAATATTTTTACGGATTTTCGGGTATTATTTAAATTTAAAATTCTCTTAGAAGAAAGCAATGCTGGTGTTGCATTACAAGTGGCAGCAATGCATATTTTAATGTATATAATTGCAGTCACATTTCACAAAGAAAAGGAATTAATTAAATTACTAATGATCAAAATTTTAAAAGATCGTGAACGTGTTATTAGAGCTATGTTTCTCGTATAAAGGTTGTGTAAATTTCTATGGACAACAATATTTTCACTTTATTTAGTTAGTAAGTAAATGATAAAACTTACGATACAGAAATACGGCAAAGCGTAACATTTCTTCCCGCACGAGCACCGGTCACAAACGTTCTGCGAACTGATAAGGGCGTACTGGATATTTACTTAGATAAATGCGGAAACCGTCACATATATCTGATGAGGTCACACTGTTTTGAATAAACATCCAAGATAGACAGGAGAGTGTTACAAGTAAACCGAGGGAAAATACAAAGTGCTTAACAGTGACATGACGTAACAGGTTTTAATGCACAAATATTTTTGATATTTATCACATTGAATTGAGTCAACCAAAATACCCGCAATTCGAATACTTTGCGGCATTAACGGTCATGAGATAGAGCAAGGTATCCGAAGTCCTTGAGTCAAAATTAAACTAGTTATACATGGGAAAAATTGTGGATCCCGTGCCGGGAACATGAGAAATGTAACGCGGTTTCCCACAAAAATTCACGTTGCACCTGTCTCCGTCAAATCGGCAGTGGACACAGGAACACTTTCGCGACCCCTTCGCAACTATGTCCTTTATCTTTACACGTGTCTCTTTGTCTCATGTGCTACGACAACAGGTGTCGGATCTGGTGCTATGTTAGTGTAATTAGCGCTGCATCCCTCACGAGCCCGGTAAGAAACGGTATCAGGGGGGTGTCAAAGTTGACCTGTGCTGTAGTCAGCTTTTCGTGTCTTCGTGATTTGCTTGTAGTGTCTCGAGTGCATGCAATGTGTCTCATGGATGTCATTTTATAAATTATTATTTAATGCGAAATCCGTTGCAATACCACAAAAATAAAAGTAGTCACAAGGATTTTCAGTCTGTTTTATGGTCCCGTATATTTCGCAGGCGTACACCGAATAACCCACAAGTTTCATCATCGGGTGAACAGTGTTTTATATAGCTTGCAGTACCCGACATGTGACGCGATGCTGCGTACGATAGCGTTTACATTCTTTTTTCAAGCATACGAAATTCTTTTTTGTTTTCGGCCAGGATCCTTACGTAACGTTAAGTAATTCAGCTATGATATGAAATGCGGATGAATATTTGCGAATGCAACTAGGCATAGATAAAACGTTCATTTTTTTATAAAGAAGAAGATATTGAGAAACGATGCTGGACTTAACAAAATTGTGTACTGAACTTCAATTATTTTATAACGCATTCGTTTCGATTTTAAAATCGAATTTTCAACTCTTTGCCTGTATAAAAGTTAATTTTTCATTGACCACTTGAAACGCGTGGTAGCGTTAGTTTTCCTCATTATGAAGATTAATATATGGTTCGTCCATCAATAATCATAAATGCATTGGGTAATTAATTCGAAATCACGCGTAATGCAAATTTTATATAAATTTAATATAATAATCAGAATTAAAGAGAATATTTTCCTTATGTAAAACCATATGATCGAAGGTTATCTCCACGCGATTGTACCACATTTTAACAAATACAATATATTTCATTCAATGTATACTCAATTTAGTTTTCAAAAAATGTTAATCGAACGCTCTAACCTAGCGCAAATTCATCAATTCCTAGAGTGTGTAAATTAATTCAAAGTTTTGGTGACCAAATCGATATACATAATAAAGATACACTTACCAAACTCCGAAATATTGTACTATAGTTTAGTTTGCTTTTATCACATTTTTATTTTTTGTGCTTTTATATTTTGTATTTTTTCCTGTTTTTGAGATTTATCATAATATTACTTTCAAAATTAATTGATTTGTTGTTTTCATTACAGTTTTGTGTGGTCTTAATTTAAATTTATTTAGTTATGTGGTGGGTATATTTACTTCACATCATATTGCCTCGGTAACATTAATTCTTTTAATTTTTATTGTCATACTTTCTGTCATATTTTTTGTTTTATAGTTACTACATAAGTTTATTTTCATTGTTAGCGAAGTGTTGTTTTTTTTTATTTCTTTTTGTTTCTTGTGTTTGTGGTGTTCGCCTGTGAGTGTTCGTCACATATGTAAGTAAATATGATTTAAGTTTCACCTTTTTAATGTTTAATAATGATATGTGAATGAACGTCGGTGAACCTGTTGAATAAATAAATAAATAAACTAGTGCACGGTCCTAACCCACTTGCATCCGTCAACTGGGCCTATTTCCAACAGTGAACAGGATTAAATGATAACGATGATGTAGATAAAACCTGCCAAGTTATTTCTATAAACAATCAAATGTGATAACAGCGATCTTCATTCTAGAAAGTCGTAGAACAATAAGCTATCGTTATCCTACAACTAAGGTTTGATAAGACGAGGTAACAAAGCAAATCAGAGATGACAGCTAGACTGATTACTGGACATTTGGAGAACCAGAAGGTTTGCAGTAACATTATGCATTATACGATATGTGAATTTTGTAAAGCTTTTAGTGAAAGGACCATCGGAGCCGTGCCGAAAAATATAGGACAAAATAGCAATTACGTATTTGAACCCACGTCCATAAAGAATATCTCTGCCTCTCGTTGTTCTCTGAGCTTCCGCTGACAGCAGAGAATCGACGGATAGTTTAATTAGTACTTCACAAAGGCACTAACAGCGGATATGAGCCTGTCGTAATCGGATTTACCACGAAGTGCAAACAATTTAGCCAGTCCATAGTGGCCTTTCAGGTAGCCAATTACTACATTAGAGATCGAATATGGCCACCGTATACATGCGACCGCAACAAAGCGATGTTTTCGATCCGCACGCCGCACGCTTTTAACGAATCTGATTTTTCCCGCGGCTCCCAGCGAGTTTAATAACTTTTTGTTACTTTCTGCTTCATTTGAAACATGATATAGTATATATTTATTCGAATTCCACACGTCTTCAAAGGCATTAAGCATTTTGCGTGAAAGGTAAAGTCAACTCGTATTTGTAATATTAACGCGTTGAGTGCAATTAATAAAACTCTAAAAATTATTGCTCTGCTGCAGAATCTGGTGGTTAAATAAGCATCTAATTTTTAAGCGACTTCAAAAATGGGGGCGGTTCTATGATCGACTGTATGTATTTTTTTCAGGGAAATAGAGGGCAACCCTCTAATGTTATAGGTATTAACAATGTTTATCATATATTTTCTATAGCTTTTAAGACATTTGCGTATGGTCATCATCATGACTGTAACATGAATCTTTCTTATTACTTATGAATCTTATTACTTATGAACATAAGACGAATCGCAGAAGTATAACATTTCCACTTCACGCCGGTCTTCTGTGAGGTGGTACATACCCTGACGGACCTAACCATTCGTGCAACAGTTAAGACAACAGTCTTAACTGTTGCACGAATGGTTAGGTTGCACGAACCCAACAGGGTGGCCTTGTTGAATATTGTGGCCCATCAGTTAAACATGTTCATTTAGCTCGGCAAAAATAAATTGTAAGGATACCCCAGACTAGAACCCCAGTTTCATTTATGTAAAGTGAAATGAACGTTTGTTTTATATCTGATAAGGATTCTACGTTTTCCTAATAGGAAAAATTCTAATGGTTTTTAAAAGGCGTGCGAATTCTGATCGAAAATTGACAAAAGCAAAGAAAATACAAAAATATATCGAACGAAACGTATATATATATATATATATAACGAAATCAATTCGTTTCTGATTATCCTCCTTTCCTTGCCTTTTTATGGAAGCGACCTTTTTAAGCGTCACGTCGGCAACTTATGACAAAATTGACAACGGTAACATCATTTAAATTCATTTATTAGTCGTTTTTAGATTCCGGACATAATGTATTATTCATTCGATGCATATAGAACTGTGAAATTCAATCAAGACTAGTTTAAAAATGCATTTACGAAGCGAATGCAAATAGGCAGTCTGAATTTAAACCACGTTTAAAACAATTCTCTTGTTTCACGGATACTGGCTTGATTTCGATCTTTAATTTGTTTCTAGTCGTTTTCTAATAAACTTTACTCAAATGTATGAGCGCTATTTTATTTTAAAAGTTTAAAAAAAAAAGTAAAACATGGAAAGAAATCAATGATAAGGATGATGAATAAGAATCAAAAATAAAAGTAGCTAAATAAATAGTATCAATTGTTACTTCAATACAAGACATTTATTTCTTTATGTTTAATCATCCAGAGATTTTAAATCCAAAGATGAAACGTTAACTATAAATTAGTGGCTATCATAAAACTATTACTGTAACAATCTAATAATTATATCGTCGACTCCACTTTGATTCCGTTCCTGTCAAGGTACGAATCTAACCAATCCTCCATGATCGGTAGATTCTGCGAGGTCCATCGGGATTCTTCTTTGATGTTCCTAATGGACTTTTCTATGATGTGTTCCGCTGGTCCGAACTCGCCTTGGTGCGCCACGTACAGTCTGGTCACCAGGTCCAAACCCGCTTTGGTCGTGAAATAGGACGTGGCAGTCGATATTAAATGCGACCAGAGATTCGTGCGGTTGTAGTATCTGTAATAATTCAATAACTTTAAGACTCCATTTGAAGAGTTATAAGTACTGAGTAGTCCTATATAAAAACCTAATAAAAAACCGCTCAAGTGCGAGTCGGACTCGCGCACAAAGGGTTCCGTACCATTATCTATAAAAATGGGAGCGCCATTTAAATATTCTTCTTATTCTTTTTTAGTACTTTGTTATAGGAGCAACAGAAGTACATCTGTAAAAATTTCAACTGCCTAGCTATTATGGTTGATGAGGTACAGCCTGGTGACGGACGGACAGAGAGACAGCGGAGTCTTAGAAATAGGGTCCCGTTCTATCCTTTGGGTACGGAACCCTGAAAATTAGCTCATTACTACGCAGGTAAAGGACCGCCGTGTGTTACATTGTTTCTTTACTAAATCAAAAACCTATTTTTATATAAATAAAAAATCCCCAATTTAATTAAATGAACAGTACACATTCGTATATACGACAAAATTTTATCTTTATTACATATGGATTAACAACGATAATCCGTTCTAAAATAATCAAATATATCTTTTTGGACTTAAATATGCCAGCATACTCACTTCTCCTTGACAAGGTCCCAGTTATCTTCTATAAAGTGGAACAGAGTCGTGTACGCTTGAGGCGAATCGGAAAACATGTTGTTTATGAGGAAGAGATCCATCTCCGTAAAGTTACCGTTGCCTTCCAAGAGTGTTATGTTTAACAGCCTAACGATTTTGGACTTGTCCTTGAGACAACCCGCTAAAGTTTTCAGCAAATAAGTTCTCTCGCTCTGCTTTCTTGAGTGGGGAAAGTTGATGACCCTCTGCAGACCAAACTCCCACTCCTCTTGGGTTCCCCACTCAAAGACGGGGCAGAAGTACCGATCGGATACCCTATGGGAAAATTAAGTTAATTTGAATACCGCTGAATTATTAACTGTAATACAATTTAATTTACTATTCAATTCTCTATCAATATATTACTTAAGACCCTATTTCGAAGTAAAGCCTAATAATACGGGCTTGCCCATTCGTGCATCAGCCTCGGCTGTTGCACGAATGGTCAGGCCCGTCCGGATAAGTACCACGACCTCACAGAAGACCAGCGTAAAGTGGAAGTATGACAAATACTTTCGCGTTTCGTCTGGTGAGTGAGGTAGCCGGAGCCCAATTTTCAAAAGGTTGTCAACGCATCTGTAACCCGGCTGTGGCAGATGTCCATGGGCGGCGGTATTCACTTAACATCAGGTGAACCGTCTGCTCGTTTGACAACTTTTCGCATAAAAAAAATAATAATAATAATAATATGGTCATTATTATTAAAAAATTAAAGTAGATTCATTCCTTACGTTATATTTGAAAATATTAGAGATAACTCAATATATGGACTCACGGATTGCCTTCATCTGGATTTTTTGCTTTCATCCACTTGCCGTACTGTTCTTGAGCTTCTTTTATGCATGGTTTGTAACCGGCTTGACAAAGGAATGTCTTAAAGAGACTACGCATATTCTTGCGCCAACTCTCTTCGTTTTCATTGACATCCTTCGTTAGTTCTTCGTATAACGGACTTAGAAGAGTTCTTATATACGCCTGAAATGACATTCATTTTAATTAGCACCCAAGCAGATTTATATTTAATGAGTTTTTAATCAATTGTAAAAAGGAACCTAAATATTTTATTTTAAAGGCACATTTTTTAAGTTTTAGGCATTTCCATGCTTCGTAAAAAAAATAGATTTTAGGATAAGTAATAATTCTTCTTGACTTTTTTCTGCTTGACAACAGTATTCACCCACATAGTGACACGAATCACTATGTAGTCTACTAATTCTTAGTAGATTAATACTAAGAATTAGTAGACTACATAGTGATACGTAGCCATGTGTATTATTCACTACTTCATTTATTCACTACGTGGGTGAACACTATGTTCACGTACGTAGTGAATAAATGAAGAATAAAGTGAATACAAAATATAGGTATATAGTCTACTTCTTGAAACTAACGTTAAACTTATCCCGAATGTCCCAGATGTGCCTGTCTATATGATCAATCATAGTGAACACTGGGTCCCAGACTAAATGATTCTTCTCCGCTTTCAAAAACAAGGTCATGTTCAGTGCGGTCGCGAAGGAGAGCTCGCCCGCAAACGCCAAGTTCCAAGCGTCATGAAGAACCTTCGCCCGCGTCAACTCCGGAATTTTCGTACGCTCGTCCGTTTGGAGAAATTGAGCGATCAGATTCCAGTTGTCCTCCTCGTAGTTAACGGGATATGGTGCTGAAGGGAGAAGTGGAAAATATCAGTTTAATGAACATTGAACATCTCTATATAACCTCAATAAAAACCACAAGGTCTAAATCAACGACTAAAGCGGCGCCCCAATAATATCTCGATCTATCTTCGTTCACGATTAAGTTTGAAATATTTATATGTGTTTATGTTATCGACACATATACTTTTAAAAAGAGGCCTGTTTATGGCAATGAATAATAAGGATAATTAAAAACAATAGAAATTAAAACATTCACTTACCAATCTCCTCGGGGTTGACGATAATGAAGTGTTCTTTGGAAGGCATGTTATTCAACTCTAAGGTCTGATCTTTCATCCACGCCAGTGGTGTCGTTGATGAGAAGTCTAAGTTATCACCGCTGACAACCACCAAAGGAATCCACCATGACATCCGTCCAGCGTCTGGTACGTCATGTGGGCGCTCTCGGAGATAAACTTTCTGTTCAAATAATTAACCACTATTATTTAAATTGCCGTTGAGAAGTCTGTATCAATAGGTCTATGATTAAGCTGAAATAATTATAAATCATTAAGTTGCTAAACCAAAACATGTTAGACGCAATGAAAATCGTTTGTCTTGTCACTTATTTACTTTTTTTTGCATTTAAAAAATGTTGCCCTTACTTTAGGATTACAGTATTATCCCGTGTTGTAAGGACATTTTACAAACATAAACTTCGCGTGGACAAACACCCAGATGTGAGACGACTATCTGTGGGTCACACAAATAGTTGTCCTGTGTGGAAATCGAACCCGCGACCCCCGACGCCGAAGCCAGTACCTTGGCAATTGCGCCACGGAGTCTTATAAAATCATCGATCTAGATATCTGGTAATTGATAAACCAATTATCTATTCCGACTGCAGATTAACTGATATTCTTTTATCTTATATTTTATGTACATGTCTTTTGTTTTATTTAACATAAACATTTGGTGGTTTTGTATTTCCATTTAGCATTGTATTAGGAAATTTTTTCTTATAGGAAGATTTAAACAATTCGTACAAATAATAGGAAGTTACAATTTTCTTGAATATTTGCGTGAATACAATTTTCCCTCGTAAAGTTTCATTACCTGCGACACAATAGCAGTTTTCGCTTCGTGGCTTCTCTTGACCGTTATTAAAGGTAGTCGATCCTTTTTAATCCAACTTTGCGCGATAGTTTCCACGTCTATCTTTCTCGTTTTTGATACCGCCATGTTCAATGAACGCCATACCAAGTTTCCGTCGAACGTTTTGAAAGCGCTAGAATTAAAATAAATACCTATATAAATACGTAACGTAGGCTGATACACTAATTGAATCGATGAAAAAATAATGACCTATAGTAAAATATCTAACGTATTTAGGCTGACTGAATGATACGAATGAGGTAAGAACTTTCTTATGATCCAAAAGAAGTCCTATGTGATACGTAAAGCTTTAAAAGTTCATCTTAGCTTTTTTTGTTTAATTTCGATTTAATATTAATCATAGACATCAATCTGTAATCTTAATCCGTTGTACTATGTAGACTTATGACTTTAATCTATCTAAGATTATATCCCCACATGAGCTTATTTATAACGTTAACGCTACCTACGAAGAAACTAATTAGATGATTGAATAGCATCACATCTATTCTATTTCTATTCTATTTTTTTTTAAATTCTGCCCTTACTTTAGGATAACACTATCCTGTGTTGTAAGGACGTTTTACAAACATAAATTTCATGTGGACAAACCCCCAGATGCGAAACAACTATCTGTGGGTCGCACAAATAGTTGTCCCGTGTGGGAATCGAACCCACGACCCTCGATGCCGAAGCCAATACCTTGACAACTGCGCCACGGAATCATCATTTCCTTCATAAGACGAATGTGACATACAAACGCTGAAAGAGTGAATCTAATAAGAATTCACAACCACTCGCGCGTACCAACGAAGGAAACAAACTAACAGACGCCAAAGTTTCATCCTCATACTTATAATAACTCACTTTGAAAGGATTCGAACGAGATCCAACTTACTTTTGCGAGTTATCAACTTTGGCATCACGTCCTCTTCTGCTTTAAATTTTCTTTCACATGTGTTTGAATAACGAGATTGGTACGTTGGCATAATATAGACAAGCAGTCTTAGTGTTTTATTTATTCTATTGGGTTAATTTTTAAATTCCTGACATCAACATCCATAGTCAAGGGTTAGACTGAATTGTATTGCTTTATATTAATACGAAGTTCTTATGTATCCATACGTTTGGTAATGCATAGTGGTTCGAAATGTGGAATAATATGTCAGTTGTTGGTGTAGTGTTGTGTAGTTTTAAAAGTATCTGGTAAGCAGTAACATGACCTTGGCAAGAATTCAAACCTGCTTCGTTAGAAGAGCTTGATTTGAAGTTTTCTTTAATACACTCAATTCAATTACAGTTTAATACAACTGTTACTCCATTCAATGTACACCACTAGGTGTAATATACAACACTTCACTATTAGATTCTTGCGATAGGGAAACTTGGCAAGATTTCCGATTTGGATTCTATCTGAATCCACAACTTGTTTGTCGAACTCGCGAACAAGCTTCGCATTGCACATGAGTAAATAGAACTGTTGTTGAATCCATCTGAGCTTCGTCTGAGCTTGTTTGATAGTTCTAATAGTGGTAATACGAACACAGCAAGTATCGTTTTCAACAAATTGTGATCAGAAAGATGGCTGTACTTGAAGATTTGTCTTTGTAAGTTTATACTTTGTTATTCACAATTATTGTATCAGTAATTACAACAAGCGATTTTACATTTCGATATAAAAAATATATTTGAAATCCTTAACCTATGAATGAAATAACTTAAACTACCATCAGTTAATATTACTTCGTGTAAACAATTGTATTTAAAAGTGACTGGATAATTTAAGCACTGTCAAACATTCTGCTTATTTTTAAAAATATTTCAATTACTACATATAATTATAATAAAATCAATAATTATATAAATAAGTATTATTTCCATTTATTTATCAAGTTTGGGAGTGTTACCGTGATTTAAATACACCTATTAATACATAAAACTTAAAGATATCCTAATACTAACCTAGTACAAGGAATTTCTATAGCATCCCGTTTAACTTCCGAATAAGCTTGTTAAATAGAATAATACGTTTACTTAACCTGGTAGAATTTAAACGAGTTGAACATCCTAAGTAATGTTATAGAAACTGGACCGTACTAAAGGAACTAAATTGCTGTAGACAATAGACATGCACTGTACTCACCGCTGGCTTACGAACATTTTGAGTCCGCCTTTAAATGTCTTCTCTCCAAGCGTGTAGTTAAACATCCTGAAGAGAAGCTCAATTTTGGTGCTGACCGTCTCCTGCTTCATCCCTGTAATCCTCGAGTGTGGATATCGCTTGCTGTACTCGTAGTACAGCGAGTATAGTACTGTCATTGGCCATTTCCCCTCCATCTCGCATCCGTTATTAATCTATAAGAAATCCGAGGTTAATTCGAGTTGTAATATATAATATAGCAAATATATATATATATATATATATATATATATATGTGTGTGTGTGTGTGTGTGTGTGTGTGTGTGTGTTTAATTTTTAAATATAAATCGGGAATATAAAGTATTTTTTTATAATGCAACACATAATCAAACTATATTCGGAAGAGATCAGTACTTTACCCTTAACACTTAATCATAAACAGCAATCAAATGGTGGAATAACTTAGGACTAAGAAGTTATTTTTTAGTGAATTTGTTAACAGTATAATCATTCGTATATATATAATGAGTCGTAGTAGAACCAGTATAAAAACCATTCGCCACAATCCGATATAAGGATGAGAAGAAAAAAACGGTGCCGTTGATTGATCACGTACTATAGCGGTCGGACGTTTTCCTTAACTACGATGAAACGAAGATGAAACTTTGAGGATAACAGGGGCAGCAACATTTCATCTTCGTTTCATGTTTTGGAATGAAAATTTATTGCTATTACGGTTTACCCGTTTTTCTTGATAGATTGCTTTATTTCGTTTTCAAAAACTTTGATACGTATCTCCCAAAGAAACTTTTAAACAATGACTGTGTTCACCTGCTCTTTATTTGCGAAATATTAAATTCTATGTTATATCTTACTATGCCTCTAATTAGGTATTACGTGAATTATTCCTTGCAATATAATATTGCAAGGAATAATTCACGCAATAAATTAGATGCAATTGAAATTGTATTCGTTATATTTATTACAAACAACTGAGCACGGTGCGCTTCGCTTCATTTAGAAAAATCTTATGTGTTTCATGTATAACCTATCAATTTGACCTATTGTTCAAGAGATAAAAATTACTGCCACCAACGCTATATATCCGGCGCTTTATATATTATATGCTAAGTTTCATATCAATTGGCCTAACGGTTCTCGAGTTTTAGGTGAACATACATACATACACACAGACATCCTCTTTTATAGGTATACTAGCGGACCGGACAGAAGTTGTCCTGTACCCACGACTTAAACCCGACAATAAGTTATAAAAAAAAAATTAAAAAATATTGTAGTCGACCGAATTGTGAATCTAAAACATTCTCGAACCAACCTAAGACACACAAAATTTAAATTTAGACAGTTAAAATCGGCCTAACCGTTTAGGAGGAGTTCAATGACACACACACATGCATAAGAATCATATATAAAAAGATAGATTGTATTTTCTTTATTATCAACAAAGTTTACCTTGAAAGCGATCTCAATAGCCAAGTAACCGACGAGAGCTTTATTGACGTGGGCGTCCGACCACCAAAACGGTGTGACCAAGGCACCCAGCCACTGGTGCAGCAGCTCCTGAGTCAACTGGATGTAACCGTTGCCACTCAAGTCGCTTTCCCTAATCAAAAGGAATTAGGACATATACAGGGAGGCTTTTCTAAGTGTATCCATTTTTTTATTAAATTCTAGACATAAATAGAGTTATAAAAATGATAAATATTTAAAATTACTCGTAATTAATTAAATACATTCATTTGAACTTATCTCAAAAGTACGTGATTTATGGGCAACTCATTTATTTTACTTGCGATCATTCATAACTAACACGCACACAAGTTCGTTTCAAAAGTATACGACGCATTGAATGAATAATAAGAGAAACCAATTTTATTTAAATGAATCCAGTTTTCATAGACAACAATTTTAACGAGGGTTCTGTCTGGTTCGAGGGTCAAGTGAGAGCCAACGATATTTTCGATTGTTTCACAAATTACTTTTCTTTCTACATAATGCAATTCACGGAAAACCATAATGATGAGCAAATGCGGTGGGAGCACGAAAGGTCAAGAAAGCCGTTCCCAGTGCTATTTACATCGCGCTTATCGAGCGACCTTGAACTTTGTTCTGCGTAATTTAGAATCTAAATTACGCCTAGACAGTGGCACTTACTTGAACACGATAAGGCCCCAGTTATCGGCCGGTTTCACGCCTTGGTAGTTGGGCAACGCTACTATGTCCAGCTTGTCTAACGGCAGAGGTGGCCAATCGAACTTGGCGATTTCGTTCAGTATCTGGACAATTTTATCAGGGACACCTTCCAACGCCTCCAAATACTCGGGCCGGCCCCAGACGCGTATTTCTTAAAATTAATAACCAATTTAAATACTGTATCAATATACTAGTAATCTACTAATTTGCAGACAATGATGGACCAGTAAAATCTTTGTTTAGGCCGCCATCAATGAATGTTTCTAATTGAAATTTAAAATTTTATAGTGATAATCTGCAAGCTTACGTTTAAACATTAAAATTTGTAGAAAATCTGTGAGAATCGATTCTATGTCTTCGGGATTCGCGCTCTGGCTTTAGCCACTAAGCTAAACGGCTGATTGCCACACCGACGAAAATCTCAACGTGTTTTATCTACATTGTTTTTAGCATTTGAAGCAATGCTTGGCGCATCCATTGTTATATCCTTTCCAGCATACAAACAATTTCGAATATCGTAAACGTAATTTAAAAAGATAATTCGAACGGGGGATAACTGCTTTTTATGCTGGTAAGGATATAACGCTTTTCGTACTTTTTTTTTAGAAATTATAAAGTTTCTAACACTTCACAAAAGGTTTAAACGCTTTAATGACTAAATAATTTTCTAGTTGTATTCTTGGAAAGACTAAAAATTCTTACATTATTAGTAGACGATCTTCAAAGGGAATTGATGAATAAAAAAGAAAGTTCATAATATTTATATATTTTTTACTGTGGTAGAGCCACCCAATAGCCTCTGCAGTTGCAAGAATGAGCAGGCTCTTCCAGGGAAGTACCACGGACTCACAGAAGACCAGTAGGAAGTGGAAGTTTTACACTTCTGCGTTTCGTCTGGTGAGTGAGGTAGTCGGGGCCAACTTTATTAAAAGATGGAAATGCATCAGCAACCCAACGGGTGTCGGCAATGTCGATACGCAGCAGTTATCACTTAACATGAGGAGAGCCGCCTGCTCGTCTGCTTCTCACACATAAAAAATAAGATTTATTTACACCATAGTTGGGTCAGAACTAGTTTATGATAGTCATGAGTTATGATGAGAAAGGACGTGAACGCGATTTACGAAATAGTTATCGTGATGTCTTCTATATAATAGGCTTACCAAATCCGTGCGATTCGCCCAAATCTGTGCGATGCGAGTAATGTGTTGAGTTTCCCAGTTGGACCAGATCTGCCAGGACCAGGCCGAGTGTGAAGGTAGACATCGGTGGGGAACGTTTGAAGTGCACGCGCACCGCGTTCGGCTCGTCCGTTCTGCGAGAAAAAAACTACAATAAAGCTGCGAAAATTACAGAATAGTTGTAAAGTTTATTATTTATCCGTTCTGCGAAAAAAAAAAACTACAATGAAGCTGCGAAAATTACATAATAGTTGTAAAGTTTATTATTGAATCAACATGCCTCCCTCCTGCTTTGGACATCATTGCGTTCCGTTGTAGAAGCGTTTTTTTTTTTTTTTTTTCAAAAATAACATCGCCCTTTCTTTAGGATAACATTATCCTGTGTTGTAAGGACGTTTTACTAACATAATTTCAAGTGGACTAACACCCAGATGGGATTAACTAATATATGAGGCACACAAATAGTTGTCCCACGCGGGAGCCGAACCCACGTCCCACGACGCCGAAGCCAGCACCTTGACAGCTGTGCCACGGAGTCGTCAAGCGTTTTTTTTTATCTAAGAAAGTGCAAACGGGCTGGCAGATCACCTGATGTTGGGTGATAACCGCCGCCCATACATTTGCAACAAGCGTAAGGTAATAGATGCTTTGCCACCTTAATAAAGTGGGCCCCGGCTACCTAACTCACCAGCGAAACGCAAAAGTGTAAAGTTCTTCACGCCGCTCTTCTGTGAGGTAGTTACGCGGACGGACCTGCCCATTCGTGCAACAGAGAAGAACAAGACTGCTGCTGAGAAGACTGTCCCGACTTAAGTAAGTCAAATACCGCGCATAGACAAGTCAGAATTTTTTCCATTCAGAATTTTCCGGTTTACAAACTTAGATTGGTCCAGAACCGAAATAGCAGAAAATTTTCGTTAAAACATGTAGAAAAAGTACGAAAAGATTGTCGCCGCTGTGGGAATCGAACCCACGTCTTCGGCATTCGCGGCCTGACGCTCTAGCCACTGAGCTAAACGGCTGTTAGCCACAGCGACAAAAATCTTAACGCCTTCATTCTACATTGTTATTTAGCATTTGAAGCAATGCTTGGCGCATCTATTGTTATATCCTTTCCAGCATACAAACTTTTTCTACATGTTTTAATGTTCAATCTTAAGTGCAGAGATTAGCACTATAAAAAACTTTAAAATTTAGAAAATTTTCGATTAAATATTTGCAATTATTCTTTAATTTTCTTCTAAAGGTATCAAATTTATATAAGGTTATTTCCTCATATTTTGGTCTTGTATATATATATTCTTAACAACACAATAAGCATTTTGTATTTATGATTTCCTTGAATTTTTCTGGTGCTATGTTCATTTAATTTGTATTATAGGCCCTTATTAACTGTGGTTTAAATTTACTTATATTTTTCAAACATACGAATTTGAAATCTCCGATGAAGAAAAGTATTTGGGTTTAATAATGGACAATAAATTAACATGGAAAAGCCATATAGATAAAATACGCTCTAAATTGACACCATTTCTTAAAGATACAATATCTTTAAGAAAAATAGCTAAACGTTTTCCGTATCCCGTTAAAAAACTTATATACAACTCGCTCATTAAACCACACCTAGAATACCTAATACAAGTTTGGGGAAGTTCAGCAATGACAAACCTAAATACATTACAGCGAACACAAAATAAAATAGTAAAGATTCTTTTTAACTACCATAATCTAACATCAACAGACATAATTTACAAAAATACAAAAATATTAATTATCAATAAATTATATACATACAGTACATGTCTTATGTAGTTATGTTTTTATTAGAGTATGTTTAAGTATGTATGTCAGTTATCTAGTACCCATAGTACAAGCGTTGCTTAGTTTGGAACTAGAGAAAGTTGTGTAAAAATGTTACCTAAAATATTTATTTATTTATTTATTATTTCTTTTCCACTCACATATTTTCAATCCTGTCTATAGCCATGTTGCTTAGAGCGACCATGTTCCGCGGACGCACCACGCTGACGTCGAAGGGCACCTTGAATTGGGGCTCATCGAAACATGGGAACATTCGTCTAGCGTTGGTTGGACGAAACTGCGTTGCAACAACAATCCTAAAAATGGAAACGCGGTGATCTAATCACTGTAAGACTGTGTCTGCGCTGAAGCTGTTATAAATAACGTCAAAGCAACAACACTTCATTTATTCATTTACAAAATCTTACACTATTATTAGAGACACCATATCAAATAAAATTGAGCGACAATCGCACCCTGCGTATAACAACGTGACATCTGCAAAATTGTAATTGTTCAGGACGGCCAATTCAAATTAAATATTTTTTATTTTGGTTACAATTTTCTTATACATAGCAGTTGCTATTACAATTTTTGAGGTTTGTAATATGATTTGGAATATAAAAAAACAGTTATACTAAAATCTCAGAAAATCTGTGTGACATAAACGCATGTAGCACGTTTTTCAACGAAAAAGCTATAAAAAGTGGGTGGTGGTGAGACTGTGCAATAAGTAAGCTTAGCCTAGTCAGTACAAAAAGCCGTGTCTAAACGTACATGTGTCCTTGTACTGTGGAGCCCAAATCAGATAGAACGTTGTTCTATTCTGAATCTTAATATCTATAATTCAGATGAAAAAAAAGAGTTTTATGTCAATAATTAAGACTTTCCGACGATAAAATCACATCCGTTCTATGTTACCACTGAACGTTATTCTACGCAAGGTGCGATAACAACAAAAGAAAAGTAAAACTAGAAATGACTTAATTATTGATTATTGACTAATGAGTTATTATGAGATTATAAGAACAGATCTACATCCATAGCAAATAAAATTAAAGTTTAGAGAGCCTCGTTTAATAACTGGGATCGCCCTTGCAGCACCATAAGCAGCCATGATAATATTTTTTAAAGAGATTCAAATACTAATTGTCTAGACTATGGCGATACCACCTTCTATTTGGTTAAATTTTAGCTTATAATTTATCTCTGGAAGCCACTTGTCATTAAGGTAAATTCGCAATAGCGTTATCAAAGAACACTGCTTTAAATATATCTCCCAGTCAAATAATAGCTACCGATCGAGCCGAGGTCCGGCCCTCTCGGGCACCCTCGAATCGGAATGCTATGCCTCTCGGGGACCCTTGAGCCTGATCACTCCATGGAGCGCCCACCAAAGCGCCCTAAGAGCTTGGCGGCCTCCCAAACCGGTAATAATAATTGCGTGACGGCCCGAACCGAGGCTCCCCCGGGAGCCCTCGAGCTTAGTCACCATAACGCGTAATAATAGTACGCCGAGGTTCAGGCTAGGCGCCTCGTGCGCCAGGCCACCTCAAGCCCGTCGGAACTGTAAAGGCCCCTAAGGCCAACAGTGGCTCATCCAGCCCAAAAAAATAAAAAAAAATAAATGTATCTCAATATTTCTCATTTAAATTTTGCTTATTATTTCTACGCAAAACTATGTATTTGAGAACAAATTTCATTCATATAACATACGTGCTTTAATAAAATATGTAAAATTAATGTTGTATATTACTCGTATGTTACAAGCCGTCATAAGCTATGTACTATTTATTAAAAAAAACGGATGGCACTTTTTACCTCTCCAGATCTTGCTCCGTCGTGTAGGTTGATTTGAATAGACCTTCGCTGGTCCTCATCTCCATTTTACCTTTGAAACTCATATCAACAATGCCATCACTCATGACAGGCACTAATTTCTCGAGCTGTAGCCTAACCGTTGACCTCTTAGCATCAGTATCAACTTGCTTTATTAGAACTTTCTGCGGCTCGGACCTAAAACGTTTTATCAGATTCTAAATTTAAAAGTTAATTAAATAAGGAATGCACATCTTAAGTTTCGTTTATCGAACAACTGTTCTAGAAGCACGTAGCTACCGATTTGAACGATTTAATTCAATAAAATATTGGTCTACTTATTCTCGGCACTTCATGTAATAGTTAGGATACCTGTTTATACCTGCCTACCTGAGAAATGTGACGTGAAAAAAAGCCAACCGAACGTTTGCATATTCTATGGGCTTCATACTTTCGATTGGTATGGAATATGTATAGTATAGTATTTTTGATAATTTTAAATTCTTTTCTAATATAGGTACGTGCCATATTTGTAAAAGTTGTACATACCTGTCGTTGGTGTACATGTAAGAACATAATGTTATGTTACATCACTAAATTATTTAATATGTAATAAACAAATAAAAATAAAAAATAATGCCATCTGTTGACAATTTATTAAAGCGAATGTTATTCTTCAAATAATTCGCATTTAGTTAAACTAGTAAAATTAAAATTGTTTTAGCTTATGAAAATATAAAAACATAGATAAATCGACCACTTACGACCCCTGGAAGAAAACTTTGACCTCTGTATCGGTAATTTCGACGTCGTGAGCGCAGTGCAAGATGATTTCATCAGCCTCCGATGTCCAGGTCACGTTTATGATCACCCGACCTTCATACACTCCATCCTCAACGTAGGGCTCGAGACCAAGGTCGTATCCCGTCGGCACCACGGCGCCACCGAGTCTGTTCTCCATCGCCAGTCCATGCGCATTGTTCAGGTCTATGCTCCTGGTTTTTATTATGTGGGGAGAGACCTGGTAACAAATGAATCTGAGCCATTTAATTGCACCACTTGTTAATTGCAAATGGATCATGCTAAAAGCTAACATTCTTCTTAGGATTATTAGCCCATGCATTATATTAAGTACACTGTTTTGGAAAATGTTAAATAATGATGTGTAGGTAAAAGAATATCCCAACTTTTCAACTTAATATACGTGAACCATAAGATTTTTGGATTTTACACTTTATTATTAAAAAAATTTAGTAATATTCTTTTATTTTCCTTAAGATTTTCTCGTTATTCGTTTTAGGTACTTAATTTTTTCTGAAATAGATGACATCAATCTCCCACTTTAAGATTAAAGCATATTCAAAATTAAATATCGCACAGAAAAATTATTTACTTTTAACAATTAGGTAGTAAGCTCTTTCAAGGCGTAACGAAACTGCATTTATTGATCCAAGATTTTTAGCCAATCTCTGTAACACTGATTTTACGATGAATGATGTAATGTCAATAAATAATAAAAAATAAACAAGGCATAGTTAATGTGGAAAGAAGTTGTCAATGGGGCGTAAACACCGCGACGCATATTTAGGCAACTAACCTTATCCGGTGCGAGGGAATACGCCGTACCGACACATAGCCACGTGACGGTATACAATCTGCCCAACATATTGCGTCAGAACGTTTTCTTCGGGCTCTGCAAAGATCTCACTGTTAAAAGGGTGCTTAATAGTTGCTTCGTTGCTTAATACTTGGAAATTATTATTACATAAAAGCTTCGTTATTTCCTCCTAAGGTATGCAAGGGATTCCTTATGAGGAAACGTATATAGATATAGATTAAATAACATAGCATAGCATAGCATATTTTCTTTTTTCTTTTGTTATTGGTGTTTGCGATTTCAATCCTTAGATACAGTCTAAGGGTTGAAATCGCAGCCTCATCAGATACACAACTCGTGAAAAAAAAACCACGAACTTGATAGACCCTACTTAAAACAAAGTTGAGGTCAAATAATATAAGAATTTCGTTCAATTTACTTTTGAATAAAGTTTGAGATACTACAGTAGGGCAGTGCAGCCGCTTCTTCTATTGCAAGAATGGGCAAAATGTTCTGTGGAATTACTTAAATTTGAATTTGTTGTACTTGTGCATTTCAGCTAGTGCGTTAGGTAGGTAACCGGTCTTAGTTTTACCCGACGGCCGAAGGGGGGTTATGTTTTTCAAGCCTTTGCACGTTTCACAGTCTGAAGCATTTATCAGAATTCAACATATAAGGTATCTTTATTTATTCTGTGTACTCCTGTATAGTTCAGGTGTTGGACTGACATATTATTTCAATCAGAGGCCCGAATGAAAATGCAAATTCTGCCACCTAATAAGTATTATATCTTGTGATATAAAAAAATAAAAACATAAACTTGTGTTAAAAATAATAAAGCTTACGAAGATATTATAATTAACGTGATTTATGTATACAAGTAATTACCGTTCGAAAAATAGATAACGTATTCGAATTCATTATCTTATTTGTTGCCTTTATGCATAATTTAACTTAACTTAATGATACTGCCATTAATTTAACTTAATGATACCGCAAGAACACTCGAGAATGTCACGTAAAGGAGTGGACAGAAATTTCAGATTTATTATTTAGTTTCTTAATACGTATTCAGTTTTTCATGATTCATCAAATCCACTAGTTCAAACAGAAGTATAGTAAGTATTATCGACGCCATCTTTCAATGTGCACTTGTCCTGATTCGGTCAGCAAATACTGCATGAAGAGGCCACGTCGATCGGTTAAACCCTCAAAGAGTACGAATGTAAAATAAAAGTATTTATTATCTGACGATTTATCTGGAGTTTCAACTGGAGGCTGTTCCTCTTATAGACGTACAACGCTCGTTTCACCCTAACTGTTTCATTGGCAACAATGGGCGCCAGTAAGTACAGTGGTAGGGCAGCAGTTTCCGCTGTTGGACGAATGGGTGAAATGTTGAAGGTCCGTCCGCGAAAGTATCACGACCTCATAGAAGACCGGCGTGAGTAGAAAAGTTTTACTTCTACGTTTTGTTTGAAGTTTTTTGTAAGAAGTTGATGTACAGAAAATAATCGTCGCCAGCAATCCTTAGCAGATGGACCGCTCTTTCCTTTGGCATCTTGACTTTTATTAAAAATTATTATCTCCCACATTTCGACGCTTCCATTACAACGAATAGATAGAAATACTTACAGCCACAGTCGACGTTGAAATCAGTTGGAATCGGCCGCTGTCCTGGACCCGGCTAGACTGATCAAAGCCAACCGAACACACCTGGACCAAAAACAAAACAAAACAAATTGAACGATTAAAACAATCGGAATCACCCCGCGTTCCGCAGCACCGAAGACCAAGCGAAGAAGGCAGCCGGATTCAGTCAGGCGCGTCTCTGAACTGTGGTCTAAGGCAGATGGGCCGAGGGCGAAGTCGAGGAGCTCACGTGCCGTGGACAGCTCGCCGTGCCCGGCTGGCGGCGTTTGATCGCCCCGTGCCAATTCAGCCCAATTGCCTCCAGGATATGGCTCGTTTGCGACTGTACGGTGATTGCGTCAACGAGACGGCTGCTGTGAAGCGTCGCGGCTAATCTCTTTCGCTCACCGCTACGAGTGACGACGGATAGAATCTTTTTGTGAAGACAATCGTTAAGTGGAAGTAAAAATCTTTCGCGTTTCGTCTGGTTATCATTCAACATCAGGCTAACCGCGAGCTCGTTTGCCACTTTGTCACATAAAAAAATACACCCGTAGGGTTGCAGATGCGTTGCCACCTATAAATAATGTGGGCCCCGTCTACCTCAATCACCAGACGAAACGCAGAACACTTCTACTTTACGCCGGTCTTCTGTGAAGCCTTGCCACTAACCCGAACGGAACTGCCCATTTGTGCAACAGCGAATACTGTTGCGTGGTCCTATCAAAATGTTCACATACAGATGTAGTGAACAATCTGCTCGCTTGTCACCTTATCACGTAAATAACGAGGTGATTACAACCCTAAATGTCAGCCGCGTGTGCGCACAAAACGATCAGGAATGTTCGCCCCACATTGTCCGCCAATGGGTCAGTACGTTTGCTCAGTGATTACGTACAAAATTTACACCGCTCGCAAACATTATTGTGCTATTAGAGCACATTATCAGCTGGTGAGTGTTCGGTCTACGTTCACCGAAACACCTTTAAGTAGCCATTGCGTCAGAGGTTATAACTCGCGTTAAATAAATGCTATTGAAGAAGAAAACTCCTTGTTCAGTTTAAAATGTATGCAACTTTTTGTGTAGCAGCATACTCGAACCTCGCTGTAATCATTTGGTATTTATGTATGTATTAAAATTATATTCAAATGGACTGGAAGTATTAGTCTGACTACAAATTCTTATTCCGATTCTAGTGACCACTATTACATAGGTGATGACTCCGTGGCGCAGTTGCCAAGGTATTGGCTTCAGCGTCGGGGGTCGTGGGTTCGATCCCCACACGGGACAACTAATTGGGTAACCCACAGATAGTTGTTTCGCATCTGGGTGTTTGTCCGCGTGAAATTTATGTTTGTGGAACGTCCTTGCAACACAGGATCATGTTATCCTAAAGTGAGGAAAATGTTTTTTAAAATAAAAAAAAATAATTAAAAAAATAGGTAAAGAAAAAGCTAGTTTTAGTCGAGATTGTTGTCAAGTACTAATAAGTTCTTGCTGTGGTCAAGCAACGCAGCATCTGCTTTGTTACACAAATATAGAGGCTCGTGCGTGAAAGTACCTCACAAAGACAACTTCCAGTTTTGTATAAGTCTCTGATTATCGGTAATCGCTTTAATATAGTTTAACATTAGTTGACCACCGACTCAACAATAACAGTACAAACAGTTTAACAGCTTTGTGAAAACTAAACGTAAAGGTAATTTATATTAATATTAGAAACCTGCCCTTCGCACGGGTGCAATGTATTATACACATATACCTTCCTCTTGAATCACTCTATCTAGTAAAAAAAACCGCATCAAGATCCGTTGCGTAGTTTTAAAGATCTAAGCATACATAGACAGACAGACAGCGGGACGACTTTGATTTATACTATTTTATTTATTTATTTATTTATACTTTATTGCAATTACCTTAAACAAGGATTACAAAGGGCGAACTTAATGCCTTTAGGCATTCTCTCCCAGTCAACCCGGGGCGTGGAGATAAATTGTAGTAGGTGCAATAAAAAGAAGAAAAAAACAAGTACATTACTAATGTGAATGAAATATACAGTGTATGGAATATACACACGCTTAAATAAATATAAATACTTACATACATATACAAAATAAATATATATATACAAATATACACATACATATTATATATAAAACACTAACAAATATACATAAATACAAACATATAAACGATATTGAAATAATGATGAAATTTAACATTCAGATTTTAAGTAAAATTCGCGGACTTTGCGTTTGAATGAGGCCTTGCAAGGTGCACTACGTATGTCTTCAGGCAGGGAGTTCCAAAGTAATGCAGCCTGAACGGCGAAAGGGTCACGGAAGAAACTAGAATTATGTGGAGGAATAGAAATTTTGAGGTTAGATGAAGAACGGAGGTTTCTTTCGTTGTTTTGATAGAGATATTTAAATTTATCTTTAAGATAGGATGGTGAAGCTGGGTCATTTAAAATCGAAAAAAGCATGAAGAGAATTCTTGAATTCCGTCTTTGTTTAACTGTAAGCCATTTAAGTCTAGTGCGATAGGGAGTAATGTGATCAAATTTTCGAATGCCGTAAACGTATCTGATACAGTTGTTGGATAGGCGTTCAAGCTTGTTGAGAAGGTCTTTGTTCAAGTCTGGGTAACAAACATCTGCATAGTCAATTATTGGTAGAATAAGTGACTGAACAAGTAAGAGTTTGATCTTGAAAGGGAGAAAATTCTTTAGACGATATAGAGTTCGCATGGTTACAAAGGCTTTACGGCTAATTTCAGTGACTTGTACTCCCCAGTTCATAGTGTTGTCCATAAAGAGTCCAAGATTTTTTATGGAATTTGACAACGGAATAGGTTTGTTATTGTATTGGATAACAGGCAGACTAGGGAAATCAATTTTCGACAGCATTCTAGAGCTTCCAACGAGCATTGCTTGGCACTTATTGGGGTTAACAGATATTCCATATTGCGTTGACCAATCGTGAATAATACTCAAGTTGGAATTTAGTCTGGTGAACGCGTTATGGAGGTCACCAATATCAGCCTGTAGGTAAAGTTGCAAGTCATCCGCATACAGATGGTATGGACAGTCAATATATGTTGTGATCGAGTTTATAAAGACCGAGAATAATATTGGGGGAGAGTATACCGCCTTGTGGTACGCCAGACTCAATATCAGCCCATTGTGAAGACTCTTGGCCCATAAAGACGGACTGCTGACGCCCGCGGAGATAAGACGAGAACCAATCCATCGCTGTGGGAGCGAATCTTAATTGAGCAAGTACACAGAGTAGGATATCGTAATCAACTGTGTTAAAAGCGTTAGAGAAGTCGACAAGCACCATCACTGTCACTTTCTTACCATCCATACCCAATCTTATGTCATCGGTAATTTTAAGTAAGGCAGTGGTGGTGCTATGTCCCGAACGAAACCCAGACTGATAATCACTCAGTAGGCTATTTTTATGAATGAACGAAGAGATTTGCTTATAAACACAGGCTTCTAAAACTTTCGAAAGGAAGGGTAAAATTGAAATAGGGCGGAAGTGATTAGGAAGTACTGGATTGGGAACTTTAGGAAGTGGTCGTACATATGCTTTTTTCCAAAGGAATGGGTACTGTCCTGACTCAAGGGAAAAGTTTATAATATGAGTTATAGCAGGAACAAGGAAATCTATCAAGTTGACTATCATAGCTCTGCTCATATCATCACAGCCCACAGCCCTAGATTTAATTGCTAGGATAGTTTTTCTTAGTCTCATCGTCATTAACTGGAGCGAAATGAAAATCTTGAATGTGTGAAGGTGGAGTGGAAGTTATATAAGCTGTGGTTTGCGCTCGAATTAAAGGATCCATTTGAGAAATAGAAGTGAAATGTTTGTTAATAACGTCAGGAGAAATGGAAGAACCATAAATACTACTTGAATTAGCGACACCGAAAGAGTTTAGAAATTTCCACACATCCGCTGGTGAAGAGTTATTTATATGATTGTGGATATATCGGCGTTTAGCAGCACGCACCATCTGATTGCACCTATTTCTGACTTGTTTAAAAGCTGTCCAGTTTTCTTCGGTACGATTAAGTTTAAATCGTGAGAAAGCCCTATTACGCCTAGCCATTGCCTTACGCACGTTATCCGTCATCCAAGGAGCTGGTGGTCTTTTCAATTTTGCTTTAATTATCGGAGCATGGACATCATACAATCTATGAACTATATTATTGAGGACAGACACCTTCTCATCAGCCGTGGGAGCCACTGCCAAGGGAGTAAAATCTGTATTAGCCGCATCTTTAAGGAGCCTATCCATGTTTAATTTCCTGAAGTTGCGGTGATATACATAAACGGGAGTATTTTTAGGTGGTTTTAGCTTAAATGAAGCATAAATTAGGTCGTGGCGAGAGAATCCGGAAGCGGAAAGTTGACCATGCGTTTCCACACGGTCAGGGGAATTCGTTAAAATTAGATCAATAAGAGAGTCATTAGCGTCAATATTGTGATGCGTTGCCTTTAAAGGTAAAATTGTGAGATCTACAGACTCTATTATTGTTCGAAGCCGTAGAGAACGTGAAGAATTCTTTAACAAGTCCGTGTTCAGATCACCCATGACTACGCAATGTTTCTGTCCAGATAAAATATTTTTCGAGGGCCGTTTCTAAATTGGCGAAATAATCAGTAGAAGGAGGACAGTACACTACTCCGAGAATCATCCTTTTGCCTTTCATATCCAGTTCTAGGAACAAAAATTCTGCTGAAGCGGAATAATGCGAAGAGGATGCCATGGCAATTTTGTACCCTATTGATTTATGAAGATAAATGGCAACTCCTCCTCCCCCTTTACCAACACGATCGTTACGGATAAGAACAAAGTCAGTCAATGGAAATGCCGCAGAATTTAGAGTCGGTTTCAGCCAGCTTTCAGATACTAAAATTGCATGTATATTAACAGACGAAAATGACGCTTCCAGTTCAGCAAAGTGACTCGGTATACTTTGGGCGTTAATGTGACAGATGTTTAATGTTTTATTGCCAGCACAAAATATATTGTCTAAATGATTTTTCATCGTTGGAATATTATCGCTTATTGATTCCTCGCAAGATAAAAATGAAATATCAGAATTGTTATCTGAATAAAAACATTCGCTGTCCGATATTATATCTGAATAGTAAGTCTCATTATCCGACATTATAAAAAAATATACATATATATATCAATATAACTACACAAATATTAAAAAAATATGAAAGTATTTATAATAAAATAAAAAAAAAATGTATAAAATAATGATCTACTTATGACTTAAAAAAAAAAAAAAATTAATTGTAAAAATAAACTAATCTAAAATACCATCCCACCAGTTGACTGTTTACAGATTAAAACTTAATAAAATCAAAACAAGGAAAATCATAAGTAGTGCTACCGGGAACAAGTAAAATATGAGTAGTAATCATTTAAAAAACGAAAAGTAAGGCAAACATAAAATATTCTGAAAGTGCACCATCTAATTTCGAAATAATCGACAACATGGCCACAGATAATATAAGACTAGAATTACAAATTAAAAATTGTACACAACAGAGAAAAAAAAAATATTATAAAAAGAAATAGCCGTGAAAAATTAAAAAAAAAAAAAAAAAAAAACATTAATGTATCTTAAAGAGTGATAGATGACATATGTACGGTAGTCAGTAATTGACTAATAATAAATTGTTAAGCTGCTTTCTTAATGATCTGTGCCTGTCTTGGAATAAATAATAAACAATCAGTAATATCAAAACCATAGATAAAAAGACATATATACTGAAAGATCAAAACAACTCAAGGCAATGTGTTTTATAAGTTATTTTTCTCAACTAAGTAGTTATTGTGTAACAACTATGTTTTAGAAAGTTTTCTCTAGTAATTTACTCTTAAGACTGGAGTAAGATTTAAAGTATTATATAAGTTATTATGAAGAAAAGTGTCTTGATCCAAATAAAAGCTGATAAACATCAAATTGTACAAAAGTGGCGAACGGCAGTAAATTATTAAAACGTGTACACTTATAGCAATGAAATACTCGATTCCTTATAACTTATCTGGAGACTAGGGTGCTTCAAGTTAATAACTATTTCTTTACTGCCACCCGTCTGCATCTCTTGGAGTCATCCTCATGGACCATTGAAGGCAGTTGTTGGCGCCGAATTTTCTCTGGTTGACCAGCAATGGGAGAAGAACGAGGAGCCTGTAGAACTTTTTTGGCCTCAGTGGTACTGGGGGCCTTGATAGCAGTAGAGGATGTGGATATTGCAGGGAACTTAACCATGAGAGCATCTAACTCCTCCTGAGAAGATATTTTTGCACGTCCTTCAGGGTGTTTAATATAAATGGCTCCATCCAGAGACCATACATTTTTTATGCCAAAATGGCTTCGGGCACCCCTGTGAACAGACTGTCTAATTCTTGTCAAGAACTCACTAACAGAGAGGGCAGATCCTTTTAATTTAGACTTCATATTCCAAACTTTTGATTTTGATTCATGGTCGCAGAAGTAAACAAGTACAGGCCTTGGTCGATTACTATGTGGAACACCAAGTCTAAAGCATTGTTTTAAGGAAGTACCTGTAAAATCTGAGAGCTCCATCTTCTCATGCAATATGAACAATACTTTTTGTGATAAATCTTCTTGTGACTCCTCTGGCATCCCGTTAAACAGCAGAGCCTTTCTACGTTTATGCATATCAATTGCATCTATGTTTTTTACACAGTCCAGGATCTGCCGTTGCATGAGACTGAGCATAGAACTCACTATCTCCTTGAAATTGTAGAATTCATCTCGTAGCTGTATTAGAGTTAAGTTAGTAGGAGTGGAAGCAGCCTTCAGTCGCTCTTCAAATTCAGCCATCTTTAATGTCAAGGATCCTTCAAGTCTTTTGTGCATGTTTTCCACACCAGAAATGGTTGCCATTGTAGTTATATTGTAATTATTAATTAAATAGAGAAGATATAGCAGTTTGATTGAGAAAGAGGTTATGGAGGGATAGGTTGTTTATATAAGTAAAGTTAATTAATTTACCATACTAATTATTTCCACTTAATTGTATACTTTAATTAATTACAAAAACAAATCAAACACTATAAAAACTTATTGTATATATTATTTAAAATATTAAATAACGTAAGATCAAAATCAGCTGTTTCTTATTCAACACCTACCTTCTTATTCAATCACTATGTAGAGATTAAACAATACTTTACTACCCTCATTTTTAAAATAAACTATTGCGCCACACCACGTGACCAACGTTGCTGCAAAGCGTTAAAACAGCTTATTTAAATCAATTTAAACGTTGTATCTGTATTCCATTTACATGGTTAGCAACGTAAACTACTGGGATACTATTGCATGCACAAATATAATTGTTTACCTAATGCCAAACAGTTTCGGTAAACAAAATCAAAACTGAAACGGTTTTATTCACCGACAATATTATGTCCGACGGAAGATTTATTTATCAGGAACATGGTAAATGGTTATATTGAATAACCACATACATTTCTATTGACATTTCTGTATTGTTGTTAAATTTTCCAAGTGCATAATATTTAAATATGTATAACTTTAGGATTAAGTTTTTTTATTATTGTTAGGCGACTAAGACAGCCGATGACTGATAATCTTGTCCTGGTTTTAAATCAGACTCAACAATTTAGTTGAGTCATAACGTTATCCTTAACTTTTGTGGATTGTTATCATCACGAACCCCACATAGTTCTGTCAGCCGTGATCCTCGTCATTTGGATGTCGGTCCGTGAATTGTGCCTTTGTCCGTACGATTTACATTATTATTTTTCATGTTATATAACTATACACGAAACGGTGGGAGATTTAAAAAAAATATATATATATATATATATGAAATGTTTATTTCTTACTTCAATGTATAAATGATTTGATTATAATCCATAGATTTCTAGGGCCCTGGAATTGTTCGGAATTATGAACAATCAAGGGTGCATTTTTTAAAAAATTACCATGAACTACATGCTTCACATGCCATACACAAAAGCCGTCAGTCTGTCTAGCCAGCTTAGCTAGATGGAAGATCATAACGTCTCTTCTAAATCCTAGCTTAATTACATTGTGCGCCCGATTTTGTTTGCACAAATGGTTAGTAAAGGTCATCCTAACGGACTATTAAGAGATGCTAGCTCGCGTAGAATTAGATGTGTCGCTATGCATTAGTGCTTTTCGAGTACAAATTTATATTTTCCTAGTAATGGGTAACAAACCAGCGTACCATTTTTTCCGCCATCCAGAAATGCAAAAGGGACAAACTTTTCAGTGTGAAACTTGCCATCAGGATACAAAGCTACAACATCAATAATTTTCGTTTTTTTTTCTATTTTAATTCGCAACGATTCAACGAACCCTTTTCAGCATTAATAGACTTTTATATGTAATCGCATAAATACAAGAAATTATCTACAACATCAAATTTCAAAACGACCCCAGCAACAATACTAGCACTAACTTCCTTGTGCGCAGTTCAAAAGGACTTCTTACATTAAGTTTAAGGAGATAGATATCAAATAAAGAACAGAATGTTTTAGAAACTGATAACCATTCTAAAAAAACATTTTCAATCATTCATCTCTCAAAACATCATCAACTCATTATTCTTTAACGTCAAAACTTATATTTTATTAGCAGTAATAACCCTGAAAATTACTGTTAAAAACATATTTTTTAAACTGATCCGAATTTTAAGTAAAGTAAAAAGTATAAGTTTGCATACGGATTTCCCAAGATGCGTACAACGTGAGTTTATCGTTGGAATCTCGGGGTGGGGCTCTGGTTTCCGTGTACGGGCCAAATTCGGCGAAATATGTCTGCGTATTCGCTAAAGCCTTAATGAAGGCGAACCATAAATTATAGCACGCGCTTGGATACTCTGACGTCACGCAAGTAAACAAATTCCAAAATCGACGTGACGAAACAACGCGATGACTCATTAGTGGAAAAGGAATCGCAGTTCCGGTTTGGAATTCGTCCATTATTGAATGTGCCACGTGGGTGTTAAGTTTCTCAAAAGAGACTGTTTAACTGTTGTTCATTATGTGTAAATAGCGTGTCTGTGATAAACATGGAGAGTAGATTCCGGAGAGTATGAATGTGTGAACGATACTTTAGAAACTATAATTTTCGTCACCATTACTTCCATAATAGTTTTACATGCCTAATGATTCTCTTTATAACATACACATATATATCTTTACAACATATATACAACTTCATAACATATACTTAACATATGTGTGAGTATTTACTCATGGTAGTAACTCATGTGCTGGTCCTTTCTAATTTTAGTATTTAAGATTCTAAACGATTACGACGACGAAATTAAAAATTACATAACAAATAATGTACGACACTACGATAGCGTATTCTCCGTTATTGTAAACTAGCTGCCGCCCACGACTACCTCTGCGTAGATTAAGCTGAAGGCGTAACATTCAGACAGAAAGACAGATATACATAAAATATGTATATAAATTATAGCCTGACTTATTTTAATGTATAAGTTATATTATTGTAGTTTCATTAAAATCCATTCAGCAGTATTTGCGTGAAAGAGTAACAAACATCCATCCATACATACAAACTTTATAATATTATAGTAAGGATATTGTGTTGTATGTGTACCAAGAAGTTATAATAATCAAATTTATATAGTAAAATGGATGATAATTACTCTAATGTACGCCATTATCTCGCCTTTGAAAGTTGGCTGTCTATATTGTTGCAAAATAAACATACATAAGTATATGATAACAAAGCACATACATGATAACAAAGTGTTTATTAGGTAATCGCTCGTGTTAGCCTACCTGCGGACGTGCTAAGTAACCGCGTGATGGGTTAACGCATCCGTATTAAAAGCGCTTTTGATCTAGATGAGAGGAGGAAAACTCGGTTACATTTCATAATTGGATCCAACCATATGTAGTCATTTTTTATTTAAACAACCATACATACATCTCGGAAATGAACAGCCTCTTGTGTCGAGGTCGTTAAGTTGATTACGGAGAAGAGCTTGCAATGGAACGGTTATAATTATCTCCGATGATACCGCTATAATTGCACTTGTACATTTTTAATAGTTGGCTACCAGATTGGCGTAGTGGATAGTGAATTTGTCTCTTGCGGGATACGGTGTGAGTTCGATTTCCATTAATGGAAAAATGTTAATTGATGACTTAGCCAATAGATGACTTGATTTCAAATCCCGGTGCAGGCACCAATAAAAATAATTTTAAGTCATGACGTATCGCGTGCTCAGGGGCGAAGGATAACATCGTGAGGAAACCTGCATATTTTCAAAATATTAGAATTTTTTTCTAGATAATTGTGAAGTCCGCCAATCTGCAGTAGTGCCGCGTAGTGGACTACGCCCTAATAACCTGTGTATAGAGGAGGCCTTTTCCCAGCAGTGGGAACTGTATCGGTTGATATTTTTTACTTTTTCTATTTTCCAGGTGTTTTTATATCTATAAAATGTATTTATTTACAAGATAATAGCAGTAAAAATGTAGAAAAAGCACGAAAAGATTGTCGTCGCTGTGGGAATCGAACCCACGTCTTCGGCATTCGCGGCCTGACACTTTAGCCACAGTGGTTAAAGATTTGAGACCATTTTGTTTAGTAAAATTCTTAGAGTTAAAAGATTTTACAGTTCATTTTGTTAAAAGTATAATTTTAAACTAAACTTTTTCACACTGCTAGCGCTCAATATTTGAATACGATTTACTTTAATAGTTTTTAAATTTTAAGCCATTTTTCATTAATTAAATGACCGTTAATCATTCATTATCATTCGTCCGCTATAAGTTACGGGCCAACTTTTTTGGTTGGCACGGCATTTCATCATCATTATTTCAGCCTGTTAGACTCCACTACTTAACATAGGCACTCTCCCACAGACTGCCACGAAGCACGATCCTTATCACCTGCATCCATCCATGCACGGCATTTGCAACCCTTCAAATGTTGTAGACGTCCATGGGCGGCGGTAATCAGTTAAGAACAGTTGAACCGCCTGCTTGATAAACTATCAACATTAAAAATCAAGAACCCTCATTTAAAGCTTTACGTAACATATATAAAAATTGTTACTAGACTTTTTGGAGTCTTTGGCAATTGCTGCTGCGGGTAAGTTTTTTTTTAAATTGATCTCTTATTGGAATTAAAACTTTTGTTCTAGATTTTAATTCGTATATTTTAGCATTACGTGTGTAATTTCTATATTGAGTAATTTACTGAAACTATATGTACATAGTTATATAAGTATTTTTTTACACACATTACAAATTACCGAAATAGTGTAATACGTTTGCGCAACGAAATTCTTTAGGTGTGCAGTACGCGGCTGGTTTCTTTTATGAGCGATTAGCGAAGGAGCCACTGCGCAATAAATCCCTAATCACAATTCGTAAACCGAGTATAGCTAGAAAGGATTAGATCGATGTACAGACCAATCACTTTTATAACCTAAATTTGCTAAACAATTTCACGTTATGATTTTTTGGTTAATACAACTATGTCTGTGCACAATAAAAATAAATACCCACACCATAAACCAAGTATTTATCACAGACAAGTCATTTTTTACTAACGAAAAACAAAACCGACTTTAGATATCTCGCTCTGATTTCATTTTGCAGTTGATTTTCAGGAGTTTCTAAAGTATCTCCGGATCCCAAGATCCAATACCAATAAAGTAAGTACCACATGGGAAACACCAGCTTTCAAATAAAAAAAGAATCATCAAAATCGGTTCTGTCAGTATGAAAAGTTCTGAGTTAACAAACATAAGAGATATTTAGGGAACTCCTGAAAATCAGTTATAAAATGAAATCAGAGCGAGATATTTCAAGTCG